TGTATGACCCTCAGCAAGTGTATATAACAATCAGACAGTGTATATGACCCTTAGACAGTGTATTTAGCCATCAAAATAATCAACATTTGTCGGTATATATCGTCTCATAACAGTGTATATAGCCATTCAGAGTATATATCACCATTTGTCAGTATATCTCGTCCTATAACAGTGTATATAACTTTCCTACAACGACATTACTCGTATAAGATATATTTAGACATGGAAATGGTTCGTTTCTATCACAAAGCACGACAACACAAATATGCAATTTTCACAGTAACAGATAACCGTTCGCTCTTGTTAAATTCCACCAGATGAATTGAAAGCCTTATCGTAGATTTGTTTAGAGCTGAGGTATAGCCTTTACTCGACCTGAAATAAATCAATTCTTCATCTTTCAAACAAGGATTTTTTTCATTAAATTTGTCATATCGTTTTCTATCTTTGTCTATTTCAAATATATCAAAGAAGTGAAGAAAGAGCATGGGATTACATCAGCTTTCTTATTGAATGTATTTATCTGGTACTTTGTGTCACTCGGACATGAGAGTCAATGATAGGACTATTTGTGGAGAATGCAGTCAGACGTTTAAGGGGTTAAGATCAACACTTATTTGAATTATCTAAATTTACAGACAACAATGTTTTCTATACTTTGCAACCATTTGTACATATATCATCATTATTTATTTAAGGGAGAAGACGTTTTTTTTAACTTGTGTCTAACCCTTTTGTATTTTTGGAAATAAGATGTTTAAATCAAAATCAGTACCTGATAAAAATAATCACCTCTCCCAACTCCATCCCACCCACCAAACTGTAGCAAATGAATAACAAATATAGTGTAAACTATCAGGGTGCAAGATTCTCGAAAGGTAAACTTTCTCATTGCAAAATCACAAATCTGGAAGATTAACAAAAAATATTGCTATCGTTGTAAATATGGATTTTTTTTCAACAACCTTCTATATAGAAGCAAAATGTCATCTCCTTACGCAGACATGATCTCCGTTTCACCAAAATGATGCGTGTTTAGAAGGAAATTGAAGTCTGTACTAGTCTGTCAGCCAGTTATCGCTTTTCTGTTGATGACGTCACGGGGCTGGTGTGTTACGCCACTGAAATTCTGCATTCATAACACAATAATCTCTCATCCCTTGCACGATTTCTAACTTCAGGTAATGCCTTCCATAACATTGTACTATATCAATCTATTGTCACTGACTTGATGCCCGTTAGGCTCGGGGAAAGAACAGGCCTACTGCGTCCCACTTTAGGTCGTAAAGGGAGACAAACTTTCTTATCTGTCTTCTGCTAAAGGGACATTGAACTTGCATCATTAGGGATCTTTATATTTTCTCTTTACTTCTGTAAACCTTTTTGTTTCCTAGTGCCTTGCTTGGCCATACTACATTATTGACCTTAGTGTGGAGCGTACGCCGAAATGGGATAGGCAACGGGTTCTGTTCCAAGGCCGGGGCATACCGAAGTCCTTAAAAGTGGTAGTGTTATTCCCTGCTTAACGTTCAGCATTAAGGGTAATTGCAACAACTGGTTCACCCGTTGTCAGTATAATGTGACCGGGCGGAAGGCTCTGCTTGGTACCTTCGGCGTGGTATTTCAGTGAGGTAGCACTCTAAAGTCGGCATCAGATCCGAACTATCGCAAGGAGGCAAAAACACCATATGTGTCTCATATCAATCACATCTTGCAATGCATTTTTATAATGTTCACAAAAAAATGCACAGCATCAAAATAAGGGGTGTATACCTCGACAAGGGAAGGAACTCTGAGCCAGAAAAGTATGAAGATTTTATGTAAGAAGGCATACTCCAAGCCGAAAGCCAGCTCTGGAGTAGAAATTGCCTCTGTGCATATAACTGATGTACTGTTACCTTTTAACTTAAACTAGTCTTTAAGAACAAAAACATTGAGAAAAAGCATCCTTTAAGTATAGAGGATTTGATTTGTCAATATACGCAGAGGGAAAATGGAGGAAGAAATAGGGCTGAGATGGGAAATTGTGAAGAGGAGAAAAATGATGTCTAGCCACACGAATACCTCGATCAAGCTTATTTGCTGGTTATTTATAGCTGCGAATACCTCGATCAAGCTTATTGGCTGGTTATTCATAGATGCGAATACCTCGATCAAGCTTATTGACTGGTTATTTATAGCTGTTAATACCTCGATCAAGCTTATTGGCTGGTTATTCATAGCTGCGAATTCCACGATCAAGCTNATTATTTATAGCTTCGAATAACTCGATCAAGCTTATTGGCTGGTTATTTATAGCTGCGAATACTTCGATCAAGCTTATTGGCTGGTTATTCATAGCTGCGAATACCACGATCAAGCTTATTTGCTGGTTATTCATAGCTGTTTATACCTCGATCAAGCTTATTGGCTGGTTATTCATAGCTGCGAATACCTCGATCAAGCTTATTTGCTGGCTATTTATAACTGTTAATACCTCGATCAAGCTTATTGGCTGGTTATTTATAGCTGCGAATACCTCGATCAAGCTTATTGGCTGGTTATTTATAGCTGCGAATACTTCGATCAAGCTTATTGGCTGGTTATTCATAGCTGCGAATACCTCGATCAAGCTTATTTGCTGGTTATTCATAGCTGTTTATACCTCGATCAAGCTTATTGGCTGGTTATTCATAGCTGCGAATACCTCGATCAAGCTTATTTGCTGGCTATTTATAACTGTTAATACCTCGATCAAGCTTATTGGCTGGTTATTTATAGCTGCGAATACCTCGATCAAGCTTATTGGCTGGTTATTTATAGCTGCGAATACCTCGATCAAGCTTATTGGCTGGTTATTTATAGCTGCGAATACTTCGATCAAGCTTATTGGCTGGTTATTCATAGCTGTTAACACCTCGATCAAGCTTATTGGCTGGTTATTCATAGCTGCGAATACCACGATCAAGCTTATTGGCTGGTTATTCATAGCTGCGAATACTTCGATCAAGCTTATTGGCTGGTTATTCATAGCTGCGAATACCACGATCAAGCTTATTTGCTGGTTATTCATAGCTGTTTATACCTCGATCAAGCTTATTGGCTGGTTATTCATAGCTGCGAATACCTCGATCAAGCTTATTTGCTGGCTATTTATAACTGTTAATACCTCGATCAAGCTTATTGGCTGGTTATTTATAGCTGCGAATACCTCGATCAAGCTTATTGGCTGGTTATTTATAGCTGCGAATACCTCGATCAAGCTTATTGGCTGGTTATTTATAGCTGCGAATACCTCGATCAAGCTTATTGGCTGGTTATTTATAGCTGCGAATACCTCGATCAAGCTTATTGGCTGGTTATTTATAGCTGCGAATACCTCGATCAAGCTTATTGGCTGGTTATTTATAGCTGCGAATACTTCGATCAAGCTTATTGGCTGGTTATTCATAGCTGTTAACACCTCGATCAAGCTTATTGGCTGGTTATTCATAGCTGCGAATACCACGATCAAGCTTATTGGCTGGTTATTCATAGCTGCAAATACTTCGATCAAGCTTATTGGCTGGTTATTCATAGCTGCGAATACCACGATCAAGCTTATTTGCTGGTTATTCATAGCTGTTTATACCTCTATCAAGCTTATCGGCTGGCTATTCATAGCTGCGAAAACCTCGATCAAGCTTATTTGCTGGTTATTTATAACTGTTAATATCTCGATCAAGCTTATTGGCTGGTTATTTATAGCTGCGAATGCCTCGATCAAGCTTATTGGCTGGTTATTCATAGTTGTGAATACCTCTATCAAGCTTATTGACTGGTTATTCATAGCTGTTTATACCTCGATCAAGCTTATTGGCTGGGTATTCATAGCTGTTAATACCTCGATCAAGCTTATTAGCTGTTAATACCTCTATCAAGCAAATTCTCGTTTACGGCACTCAAGTTCCGTGTATTCGTAACGCCACTCTCATGAACTGGCGGACGGCGTGACACGGGCTTGAATTCTTGAAAGAAACAATCATCTTTCCATCAATCCCAAGCTTTATATTTACGCCCAATAGACAAACAGTTTCGCAGCAATTAGTATAGGGTGGTGGGGAGGTCATATTTAGACTTCAAGAGCCTTCATTCCTTCTGCCATATAAGATTGTACCATCGTTAATGGGTGACGTTTTCGTCAAGTTTGGATCCAAACTATTAAACTCTGTGCTGTATGGGTGTGCGAAAAAAACTGCCAATGATGTAAATATATTATAAATGCTGAGTGCATTTTTGTTCTGGTGGGCTTTTGTCCTTTAGTGAACAAACAAGTGAGTTGTTTCGGTTCGGTTCTGACCCAAATTCCTCTTGGCCAAAGTAACAATATTTATTATAGAACGTCTTATTTTATTAATTATTAATTATTAATTCATTAGATTATTTTAACGCTTTATAAGAACAAATCTATTTTTCAATAGAAATTGTGAAATCAAATCGCTCAGGAATGTTGCAATTCTGATTTGTTGATACTTGTTAAAAATGTGAAAGCTATACTAATGCAATTGAGTTTTGCTTTAAGATATTAGTTTAACGTCTGTCACGAAAGGACTGAAATATTTTGATTATTGTGTAAGCTTTTGTCATCAGAGGACGAAAAGTGGTTCGGTGCAAAGCGTTTTTCCTGAGCGCGAGTTGCTGGTATGGCGTTTGCGACATTACTCTAGATACTTACATTTCCGCTAGTATGCGTCTCATTTACCCTCATTAACTTGTTTATTTTCATCTGTTTGGGGATTTTTATATGAACATGCAACGTATAATATTTCGGCGCTACACAATTTTATCTAAAAATAGGTAATTTTACTAATACTTCTGTTTACTTGCAAGACTTCATCTCAGATGTTAAATATTTTAAACCCTTCCAGGTTCCATTTTCCGTCTTGTGGTAACAGTTTGCAGAAAATCGATCGCGCTATGCCCTGACAAAACACTTGCTCCATTATACCCCAGAATACAGATTGTACAAAGATTGACAAGAAATCGTTTTACACTTTAATTTCATGGAAACCATCACCAAACAGTTTGGTTTGAACTATGCCTGTACAAAACGCAATGAGCAAATCCGACCTGGAACCTTATGCATTAACATTTAGAATGAGCACAAAAGTTTATAAAATGTAAAAAGAGAAATGTATTCTATAAAGAATCAACAACATTGATCACAAAGAGGGCCGACATCCCTTTATTATGCAGAGACTAAAATTGCGACTTAAAGTCAGTTTGAATGCAACTTTAAAGCTAATTCTTTTCTTAAATAGTTGTGAATCCCTCCACTAATTGAATAGGGCAAAATTGACGTGTCGTCACGTGACTCAAATTCTCGTTTACGGCACTCAAGATGGCGGAAAATGAGGTTGACTGTGGTAAGTATTTTTTATTTAATTATTTGTATAAACTTGGAATAACATGAAGAAAAAATTGTGAGCTTTTGTCAGAATCGGGACGTCTTCAACTGTCCTAGATGTGTGTATTAACATTATCTGTCCAAATTTCTCAACTTAAATCCAAAACAAGTTTTCATCATCCAACTTCCGGTTGTAAAGTAGAATTCAAAATATCCGGTAGGTTCATTCATTTACGACATCCAAATCATGGGCACGCTGTACATGCTTTCCAGATCCCCGGCAGTATCTATAAACTCCGGTTAGGAATAACGGACAATATACCATGATCGGCAAATTCCGGTAATAGTCTACACTGTACAGTAATATTAAGAACAAACCGGATATGACGTACATCATGTCCAGACTCCGTATAAATAATACAACAGATATAAAACATCCAAATGCGAATTCTAGGTATGAAAGACACTATGTCCAGGTTCCGGTTGAACAATCCAAACTCCAGACATACTATATTCCATGTCCAGCTTTGTCTGGGTTATAATACAAACAGTATTCATCGTCTTTCAGATGTATGGGACACGCCCACAACGCACACCCTAGTCTCGAGGACGGAACCAAATAAACAACATAATCCTTACTACCTCCAACATGGAATAGAAAAACGGGTGAAATATGGAAATGTCAGATTCACTTTTACTTATTTGACATCATATTGACGAATTCTGAAAATAACAAAAACAAAAATATATATCAGATATTTATTAAAATCAATGAATACTCAAGACAATCCATGAATGACATTAAAAACATATTTAAAATTTGATGTATAATTTTAGTAATTGAGTAAACAAAAATCAAAAAGTAAGATTCGTTGTAAGTTCCCTCTATTGTCATAGATCTAAATTTAGATAATTCATTTATAAGATCTCATTAAAATGAACACTTTGGTTTTTTGACAATTTGTTATATTTTCACCTTAATCTACATAAGTAAAGAATATTTACGAAGGTGTCACTTGATTTCGTGACAATATATGAAATGTAAGTGTCCGGGAATATTGATTTCCTAGGGAGGTCTGATTCCGGATAATCGGATTGTCAAGTTTCGGATTATCGAGTTCGGCTTTTTAGTGCCATTCAAATATCTCAATTTACCTATGTAACAGAGCGCATGCATAATTAAATTTAAATCACTGCCTCCGCTAGGGATCGAACTCGGGACCTCTGGCTTACTAGTCTTACGCTCAACCTCGCGTTTAAGAGAAGTGCTCACTAGCCGAGAGATATATTTGCATGTGTATTAGGTTTCCCGATTGACCCATTTTTCCTGCCGACTCAACAGTGTTTAGTCTCGTTCAACCAGACTCTTATTGTCTGCGCAAACTTCGTCGAACAAGTGATCAAGCGTCTGGTTTAACGAGACTAAATAGTTTGATGCGTTTTGGTTTATGAACATTAAACGTGAAACGACGTACATGTGCGACGCTGATGTTATCACTATGAATGAAACAGAACTACAATTCTGCACTTATTGTTTTCTAATAGGAAAGGAACATTTTGGGATAAACGAAGCTTCCTGATAATAGGATCCAAAATGACGAACTTGACGAAAAAATGTGTCCCACGTCAACGAGGTGTTTTTTTTAATATTCGGGTCCCATAAAAAAAAATCAGACAACGATGTCGAAAATGACGATCTTCTGGATAAAACGGAATCCGTAATAACGCATTTTCTAAACATCGGAGTAGAATAATAAACAAGTTTCCGGACAAAGGGTCCAATGATACGAGTTTACCGGACAAAAGGTCCAATAATTAACGAGTTTACCAGACAAAAGATCTAATAATTAACGAGTTTACCAGACAGAGGTTCCAATAATTAACGACCTTACCGGAAAAAAGTTCAAATAATTAACGAGTTTACCAGACAGAAGGTCCAATAATTAACGAGTTTACCAGACAGAAGGTCCAATAAATAACGAGTGTCGGACAAATGTTCCAAGATAATCGAGTTTCAGGACAAAAAAGTTCAAAAATGACGAGATTTCCAGATAACCGAGTCCCAAAATAATGCTTCCAAGTGTATTTTGATGGTTGTGTAATTTTGGTTGAAACTTACCTTCATAATTTACTTGACCGTCACCGTCCGTATCGGCTTCTCGAATCATTTCGTCCACTTCTTCGTCTGTTAATTTTTCTCCTAAATTTGTCATCACATGTCTAAGTTCGGCTGCACTGATAAATCCATTTCCGTCCTTGTCGAATACTTTAAACGCTTCTCGTAACTCTTCTTCAGAATCGTTATCTTTCATTTTCTTTGCCATCATTGTGAGGAATTCTGGGAAATCAATAGTTCCGTTTCCTGCGGGAAGAAGACCGAAGAGAATTGTATTCCGAAATTATCATTACATTGAGAATTTGATTAGCACCTGTCCAGAAAATGAATAGTGAAATATATTATACCAGCATTGGTCTAATATTGTATACTACGACTCTGGGGAAATAGATTTCTTAAAACATGGCTTAGCGCCCCGTGTCTAAATGTGATGGCTTCAGTACCATGAATCATGAAATGTAAAATTTCCCAAAAGAACCTTACCGTCAGCGTCCACCTCGTTGATCATGTCCTGTAACTCAGCTTCTGTCGGGTTCTGTCCTAGTGACCTCATCACTGTCCCCAACTCTTTGGTTGTTATGGTACCGTCGCCATCTTTGTCAAACAGGCTGAACGCCTCTTTGAATTCTAGAAATACAAGAAACGTGAAGACTCAGATTTCATATTCCAAAAAGTTGGAATCTTAAGATATAAAAAATATATAATCATGATATTTTGTAGTTTTGCGATAATACATTAATTGTCGAAATATATTGTTTTGAATATCTTACACAACATGGCTTCGATATAATGCCACTTATTTGATTTTCCGTTTCAGTTTTCGCTAATATATTTCAAGTTCCAATTTTCCTTTATTCTTTTTTAGGTTTCCCTCCATATATCGTCCTATCACTGTATAATGCCAAAACGTTACCTTGCGAAATGAGATGGTGGCACTAAAAGGAGGTTAAATTGTACTTATAAAGACTTTTTAAATGTTGGTAGCCGCGAGAAAGCTAAGGCCTTACACCTTTAAGAATCTCTTCATGTGTACTTTAATTGAGATATTTTCATACCAACGTAATCCACCCGAGTGTGATCACAACTTAATGGAAAACTTCCCTTTTAGTAAAATGCCTAAAGCTCCATTTTTAATCTTAATCTAAATAATGATTTTACAGTTTAAGTTAATGGAAAGTTCTATTGTTAACACATTTCGACAGCTTGTTGCGATTGGTTATCGTAATGAACTGTGGACTTACACTTTACTTTTTATCAGTTGTACGCAACGTCATACTAGGATTGGAAGGGATTACCGTTCTTAGTGTAATAACCTGCATGTACTCTACGGGAGCTAATAAAACACACTCGACCAAACTATGGTGGTTACACATACAGCATTAACTACTTGCGTAAACGGATCGATCTGCCTGTGTTCTCAAAAGTATTTAATATACAGAATATTCTAGATAAAAAAAATGAAATTGGCGCATTATACGGCGACATATGGCAATTCTTCAATATCTTTATAATAAAACATTGAATGTTGAGAATGAGCTTTGATGGTTATGAATCTCCCGATCACTATCGGTACCCTGTAGCAAGCATTCATGTAAATTGACACATGCTTTATCATAATACTGGTATAATATGAGAAATATAAATAATAATATTTGAAAATGAAAATCCTTACCAGCGATCTGCTCTTCTGTTAGCTGTTCAGCCTAAAACAAATTATGAAAAAAGAATCAGATTTCATATCAAATCACGTTACATCTAATATATTTGCATGTCGCTGGATTAATGAATTATAGAATAGATGAAGCATGTCCAGTTGTTGTAGCGGTCAAGTTCTGTCAGGCTGGCTATCGAGCGTCACGGTTGAACAAATAACGTTACCACTTAACAATGCTACCTATATAACGTGTCCCTTAAGCTTGTGGCCAAGGTTGGAGATAAAGCGATTAAGAAACTTAACAAATGAATAATCGCTTTCACTTGAACAAGGTATGAACATATGAGTATCATACTGCAAAATGATTCAAGCTGAATAATGGTATCAAATATTCAACTAGCTTTGATATGTTAATCTTTAAATACACAAGAACGTGTTTTTTCTCAACGAATAAAAAGCGAAAAGAAAGTCAAGTATTACCATAAGAAAATACTAAAGAGCGCGGACGCCAAAACCGAATTACAATTCGAAAACATGATACATGATTTGCTGTTTACCTGGTACAAGTGAAAAAATATATACTAATCAAGGTTGCACTGCGCTCTTAATAGAAATCAAAGAGCTGGAGGATTAAACAATCGCAATTTACCTGAATATTTGATTGTGACATTGGTCTAAAAGTCGGCTACCTGCGGATGGAAACACGCACAGACGGAAATGTACGTTCCCTCTTATATCACACAACACTGAGTAGAGTAATAGCCCTCCAATTGTATATGTACTTGAATATATACCAAGTGACTATGTCGCTCTGAACTAAAATTCCGCATTGAATCCGTGCTGTGCGTTTTGTGTCGTGTGTGGTGTTAGACGCGCGCGTACCACTACAGTCTTGGCGGAAACTTATTGATCCAGTTTCCGCAACACTCCGTATACTCCCGGAATGCCGCAATGTTCAAATCTGACGCTGTCTATGTTCATTTGTGTTAAAGAACGGTCCATACAAAACAGTTCATGGTTTGACCAATAACAGACAGACTACCGATGCTATGGTTTAACAAATATCACTAACTATACATACCAGAGACTACGATTTCCGACTTATAACAAACAAGCAGTATGCTCTAAAGCGAACTGATAACAGACCGCGTGTTCTAACTTATAACACACTCATAATGGACAAACGTGTTTAACTTATAACACATTAACTACATACATTCGAGTTATAGATCGCGTGATCTGACTTATAAAACGCACTATTGACATCATGATCTTACTTATAATTCACTATAGACCACGTCATCGGACTTATAACAATCTCACGATAGACCACGTTTCCTGACTTATAACAAACTCACTATAGACCGTGTTACCTTTCTTGCAACAAACTCAATACAGACCATGTGCCCTGACTTTTACAAAACTTACTTAAGACAACGTAGCCTGACTAGTTACAAACAAACTGTATACCACGTGATCTGACTTATAACAAACTCAATATAGACCACGTGATCTGACCTAAAACAAACTCACTATAGACCACGTGATCTGACCTAAAACAAACTCACTAAAGACCACGTGACCTAACCTAAAACAAACTCACTATAGACCACGTGACCTGACCTAAAACAAACTCACTATAGACCACGTGACCTGACCTACAACAAACTCACTACAAATTACGAGGTCTCACATATAACAAATTGACCGCGTACGTAATCTTACATGAACACATTAACCATAGACACTGTGTCGTGATCGGTAACTATCACCGACTGCATTCACTTAGTTTTTTCAATTCGTTCCTATGATTAAGTTTATTAACTTATAACCTAGATTGAAGGAATGCACTAATTGACTGTACTGTCCATTCGCGTAGGGTTTTGTTTTGTTATCCTGATAAGTATCTACATCTCCATACTGTTGTGTGTTTTCTCTCTAGCGTCCGTTCGATAAAAAGAAGATAAGTATTTAATGGATACATATGTTTGTGTATATACCAGCAATAAATATACGGGCGAGCGATGGTAATGATATGAGCTGGCGATCAAATGCGTGCTTTGTAGCATTCCATGTGGCTTATTGCTCATAGAATGACCACTGGTAATATAGGTGACCGATATAACAGATGACCAATGAACTGGCCATCTGTCATCACTTATCACACAGGTGTATAAGATTTATAATGAATGTATGTTTATAACGACATTATAAGAATGCACACGGAAATAGTTAATGTGAAACTAGCTAGTGGGATGACTTTGTCATGCACAACCGATAATATAAAAAGTGATCGAGAACAATATTGTCACTTTCATACAGTGTTAAAACACCTGGTCAGGTAATAACTAACTTATACACACTCACCATTATTTCGGTAGAAGCCCACGGTACGTTCGACAGGTAGGAAAGTCTCCTTGTAACTGCCAACTCAAGATCTCTCTACCTACCTACAGGCAATATAGCCACTGCCCATGTCCGTAGTTACACGATAGGGACTAATCCGTGACCTGCTTGGACATGTGTCCGAACAGCTCGCCCTATTATCGCAGTAATTCCCTGGCCGACCGTCGTACAGAGCAGACACCCGTACGATACACGGATTATCCAACGCAAATAACAATAAATTTTTATGAACTATTTCTATTCTCTGCTTGTTTTCCGAGACGACTGTGATTTCATTGCTTTGTATTGATTACGTAAAAAGCTGTTTTCACAAAGCCAGTGGAAAGACGTCTACACTTGGCTCTGCAAATGCCAAAGTTAATCGTATTGTTCTTCCAGCAGCACACCCCTTCGGCCTTGTTAGTAAGGCAATCTTAGTTCTGAGGGCAAAATTAATTTTGATGAATTTCCCTATGCATTTTAACTCTCTTTATTAAAAGTATGCATTTTGAAAATGACATTAATAATACAATAAAATACCGCTGGTGACAGGAGGAGATCAATGAAGATTTATTTAATTGTCGATGTATTGCAATAACTTTCCAGGGTAGAATCAGAACTAAATTAATAAAAAAAAGTATACCTCTCTGTACTTAGCGATATCTGGCTCGACAGGCAGCTTTGAATTGCCAACAGCACGACAATGTCACCGATCCGAACACAACAACAAAACACCACATCTACACCAAACACCAACCACATCTAGATCACACACTAACCACATCTACACCAAACAGCAACCACATCTACACCACACACCAACCACCACATCTACACCACACACCAACCACATCTAGATCACACACCAACCACATCTATACCAAATACCAAAAACATCTACACCACACCCCAACCACATCTAGATCACACACCAACCACATCTACACCACACACCAACCACATCTAGATCACACACCAACCACATCTACACCAAATACCAAAAACATCTACACCACACACCAACCACATCTACACCACACTCAAACTACATCTACACAACACACCAACCACTTTACACCACACACCAACCACCTCTACACCACTCACCAACCACATCTACACCAACCAAATCTACACCACACTCCAACAACATCTACACCAAACACCAACCACATCTACACCACACACCAACCACATCTACACCACACTCAAACTACATCTACACAACACACCAACCACATCTACACCACACACCAACCACATCTACTCCACACACCAAAAACATCTACACCAAACACCAAAAACATCTACACCACACACCAACCACATCTACACCACACTCAAACTACATCTACACAACACACCAACCACATCTACACCACACACCAACCACATCTACACCACACACCAACCACATCTACACCACACACCAACCACATCTACACCACACATCAACCACATCTACACCACACATCAACCACATCTACACCACACACCAACCACATCTACACCACACTCCAACCACATCTAGACCACACAACAACCACATCTACAGCACAAACAAAACCGCATCTATACCACACACCAAACTACATCTATACCACACACCAACCACATCTACACCACACACCAACCATACATACACCACAAACCAAACCACATCTACAGCACACATCAACCACATCTACACCACACACCAACCATATCTACACCACAAATCAACCACATCTACACCACACACCAACCACATCTAGATCACACACTAACAACATCTACACCAAACACCAACCACATCTACACCACACACCAACCACATCTAAATCACACACTAACCACATCTACACCACACACCAAACACGTCTACACCACACTTCAACCACATCTACACCAAACACAATCCACATCTACACCACACTACAACCACATCTACACCACACTCCAACCACATCTACACCACACTCCAACCACATCTACGCCATACATCAACCACATCTACACCACACACAAACCACATCTACTCCAAACACCAACCACATCTACACCACACACCAACCACATCTAGATCACATACTAACCACATCTACACCACAAATCACCCACATCTACAACACACACCAACCACATTTAGATCACACACTAACCACATCTACCCCACACACCAACCACATCTACACCTCACTCCAACCACATCTACACCACACCCCAACCACATCTAGATCACACACTAACCTTAAATGCACCGCCCTCCACCCACATCTACACCACACTCCAACCACATCTTCACCACACTCCAACCACATCTACACCACAAATCAACCACATCTACACCAAACACCAACCACATCTAGATCACATACTAACCACATCTACACCAAACACCAACCACATCTACACCACACACCAACCATATCCACACCACACACCAACACAAACTACACCACACTCCAACCACATCTACACCACACACCAACCACATCTACACCACACACCACATCTACACCACACACCAACCACATCTACAACACACTCCAACCACATCTAGATCATACACCAACCACACCTACACCACACCCCAAACCACATCTACACCACACTCCAACCACATCAACACCACACACCAACCATATCCACACCACACACCAACGCAAACTACACCACACTCCAACCACATCTACGTCACACACCAACCACATCTACACCACGCTCCAACCACATCTACACCACCCTCCAACCACGTCTACACCAAACACCAAACCACGTCTACACCACACATCAAACACATCTACACCACACTCCAACCACATCTACGCCACACACCAACCACATCTACACCACAATCGAACCACATCTACACCATAAATCAACCACATCTGCGCCACACACCAACCACATCTACACCACACTCCAACCACATCTACACCATACATCAACCACATCTACATCACACTCCAACCACGTCGACACCAAACACCAAACCACATCTACACCACACATCAATCACATCTACACCACACACCAACCACATCCAGAACACACACCATCTACATCTACACGACACACCAACCACATATACACCACACACCAACCACATCTACACCATACTACGACCACGTCTACACTACACTACAACCACATCTACACCACACTACAACTACATCTACACCACATTCCAACCACATCTACACCACACACCAACCACATCTAGATCACACACTAACCACATCTACACCACAAATCAACCACATCTACAACACACACCAACCACATCTAGATCACACACTAACCACATCTACACCACAAATCAACCACATCTACAACACACACCAACCACATCTAGATCACACACTAACCACATCTACACCACAAATCAACCACATCTACAACACACACCAACCACATCTAGATCACACACTAACAACATCTACACCAAACACCAACCACATCTACACCACACACCAACAACATCTACACATCTACACC